TGAAGCAGGAATATGGAACTGACGTCTGGCTTTGCTTTATACCTTCTTTCTACCTTCTCTTCTAATCTCCAATTGTTGATGTCGTCTTTTCTCAGCCTTTGTGACTCCTCTATGTACAACATTGTACCAGCTGCTTCGATCGCCTGCTAGCTGCTCCCAGTTACCAAAATCGATGTATGTGTGTTTCAGGTCACTCTTGCAAACGTCCTTGAAATGTAGTGTGGGGCGGCCTATTGGTGGCTGCTCTGTTTACAGTGTAATAATAAACTTTAAAAATAAACATTCCCGAACAGAATCAGATAAAAAAATATAGACTCCGCAATCTTTTCAAAAAGTAATATTCGTATCTTTATTTAATTTAGGTCCTACGTTTAACAGCTGATATAACCGCGCGCCATTTTTCATTTTGTGGCACCCTCCTTGTCTGCAGATTTTAATGAGATAAAATATCAGAGTACAAAACCCTCAATAATTGCCATCTGTAAAATATTAAATCATTTATCTTAAATCTTTTGAAAATCTTGTTATTATAGACAACAGATTAGCTAAGGTGTGTTTATCCTTAAAAAATACTTTAAAAAAATGTTGCTTTCCTGTTAAGGCGCTTGGATAATGAGATTCAAGCGTTACCGAATAAAATTAGCACGAAAAACCCTAAATTAAAATTCAGTCTCCTTGAACTGAATATTTTCAGTTTTTTACGCACACACACACACACACACACACACACACACACACACACACACACACACACACACACACACACACAAACACTACTCTGCGTACATGCTACGGCATGAAAATGTATCAACGAAAAGGACCATTTCTTTTTTGCTATTCGTTTTATTAATAGTGGCAGCTTGGATTCTAAGAGGCAGTGGGAACAATGTAACAGTAACGCATGTCATACGTTGGCTCAGCGTCTCTCCACCGATGGTCTTAGCCGGTAGCAAACCTGAGTGTGGGAGGCGTATCGACGCTTCAGAATTCTTGAGACCCTCTGTAGAATTCACGTCGTTTTGGGTTTATATTCAAAAACAAGACAAAGGCAATCCGATATTGTCAGAATATCCTGCCCACGACGCACTCAGATCAATCGCTGACCATTCTGACCCTCGACTTTGCATTCTGCAACACTACCCTCGAAGCCCCAAACTGGTGAAGGGGGCTAGCCTGGCTGGCGTCCCATGGCATTGCTTTGTGACCCTCACTATCTTATCAATATTTGATTTTTCTATCTACATTTATATACGTTACAAATTAAACTAAGCACAATTGATTAATAAAAGACAACAAATTTTTGTGGATTTTGATGTCATTTTGGGGTCGTTTTGTTTTTTCCGTTCAAATCCGTGAATTTCTTTTACTTATGCTAAGCCTCGATAAAACACTAAATAAAATTCAATATATTTTATCCATAATCTTGAATGGGATAAATTTATTCAACTTTTTAACAAAAAAAATTCTCAAGCTGATGTTAAAAATTGCCGCAAAACATTGTTGATTTATTTAAGATGGAATGATAACATGTCTCCAATATGTATTTAGATACATTGTATTTATTTTCAATTTTTCTTCTTGAATTGTGCACCTATATTGCATATGGTGATTTTACAAGCGTAGTTTAGCTGTGGCACAAGACCGAAAATATGGGGCACTCCACCTATATTGCATATGATTCATTATGCTGTATAATTAGGTTACATTAAAAGGTGTATAATATATGAAAACTACCTTATATAAATTAGGAATAAGGTGGAGTGAGGAGCGTATCATAGATTCGGGGGGGGGACACTTGCATCAGCCCCGAGTGTGTCTTTCTCTCAGTGATTTAAGAATTCATCCTCAGCACCTATTTTGTAAATTAAGCCCATTATTTGTTTTAAAGTACCAATTCGCTTTACTCTCTCAATCTCTTTACTAGCTCTTATTCCTCTCTCTCTTTAGTCTATCTCCCCTTTTACTCTCTCTCTCTCTTTCTCTTTACACTATCTCTCTCTACTCTTTCGCTCCCTTTACTCTCTCTTTCGATTTACTCTCTCTATCTCTTTACTAGCTCCTTTTACTCTCTCTTTAGTCTCTCTTCCCTTTTACCCTCTCTCTCTTTCTCTTTACACACTCTCCTCTACTCTTTTGCTCCCTTTACTCTCCCTTACGCTTTACTCTCTCTCTCTCTCTTTAGACTCTCTCCCCTTTTTACTCTCCCCCTCTCTCTTTACACTCTCTCTCTACACTTTTTCTCCCTTTACTGTCTCTTTCGCTTTACTTTCTCTATCTCTTTACTAGCTTCTTTTCCCCTCTCTCTCTCTTTAGTCTCTCTCCCCTTTTACTCTCTCCCTCTTTCTTTACACACACACACACTCTCTCTCTCTCTCTCTGTCCATCTACACTTTTTCTCCCTTTACTCTCTCTTTCGCTTTACTTAAAGTTAAAGTTCTAGACGATCAAACACACTTTTTCTTATTTTTATATATAATTTTAATCATTTCACCCCAAGCAAGGTGACAATGCTACTAAAACGCCAGGGAATACAGGGATTAAAAAAGAGTGAAAAGAATTTACTGAGTAGAAAGTACAATAAAAGAACAGAATTCGAGGAAACAGAAGATGCCAAACGGCGTTGCATTTATATTTTTGAAGATTGCAGTTGTCAGAGAAGCAAGAAATCAGAAGGGAGTTCCACAGGCAAGAAAAGAAACTGTTAGAATAGAACTGACGGTTGCATCTAGCTAGTTCAACATTAAAACGGTGAGACCTAATTGCCAATCTAGCAGTACGTTTAAATTTATACAGTTGAGGGACCAAGGACGAAAGTTCATCAGAGGGAAGCCACGTCACGTCAATGAGAAATTGGCTGAAGTCGAGTTGCTAGGGCAGGATCGATTGCACACCTTTCTTTGGATTGTGTCATGAAATTTTGTCAAGAATTATTTGTATTGAGAAATAAAAAAAAAAGTGACCCGTTCTATTGCGATATTTGCTTTATTGCGAGAGTCTGGAATCGAATTGGAAATGTTTCAGGCGTGTTACAAACCATAATGAGTTCGATTTTGATTGAAAAGAAGGAGATATAAAACATGTAAGAAATGTTTAAAAATATATCCGTCTACTGTTGCTGTCAAGTTTTGCGAAACCGTTCAACACACGACGTCACTTGTTTCTACGATACACGTTAATTTAATGGGAAATCTAGTTTTCAAAAATACCCGGATGAAGCTAACATTCTTATATTTTGTCGATTCTTATATTCTTATATTCTTTAATTTTTATATTCTTATATCATTTAGATTCTTATAGTCTTATAAACAACAAATCTTCGACGATCTTTCCCGAACGATCATATCTACTCACGAAACGTACCTTAACATTTATAAACAATAATTTGGACTTTGCTAACCAGACGCTTTCTCTGTAGCTGAGTGGTATAGCACGTCAGATCAATCGACGGTTCCGTATAGAATGCAGGTTCAATTCCTGTCGGAGAACATATTTTCTATGAAATTTCTGGAAGATTCAGGCCGGTAAATGTAACTAATACTGTCTAATTAAAACAAGAGAGCATTTACTTAAATAAATTGTATTTATTAAAATAACGTATAAAAAGAAAATATATTACATAATTGCCAGACTTAATTATATATATATAGTCGACTCTCCCGTCGAATTCGACGTATGAGGGTCAAGCAGATCAGTTTCCAGGAAACCGACAGCCCGACACCGGCACATGAGATTTGATTATAGTGGTGAAGGCCTCACGCAGGACCATCCACACTTTTTAAAGGGACGAATACAGAGACCTGGTGCATTACGTGCCACAATGTTCCCAAACGACCCTCTGCAGGTTTTGAATTCAGAGTTGCCCTTCTCCTACACCAGTTGCTATCCAAGGCTATAGAACCCAGTCTGTCCTGCTATTTTACCCATAGCTGGATGGAGAGGGAGAGGATTCATATCTTTCCCAAGGGTATTAGCATGTGAATGTGAAAGTGAATGTAATGGATTCGACTGGAATTCGAACTCGGCTCTGCGATTCGTCAATCCAAGCCGCTATCCATTACTCCACTGTATGTATGTATGTATGTATGTATGTATGTATGTATGTATGTATGTATGTATGTATGTATGTTGTGTTTTGACTCTACTATTTATATATTCTCGTTAGTGGTGCATTATGGGTAGAAGGTCTATTGTATTATTCTTTGCATATATAAATACTCGAGACAAAACACAACACACATGGCCTGAAGATAGCGTTTAAGCCTGAAACAGACTGATGGCACAGTGTCCACATTCACACACACAGACACACATACACACACACACACACACACACACACACATACACACACAGACACATATATTTCTAAATTTATATATAAATATATTTTCTATTTTTATCAATTTATTTAAATAACCTTCAAAAGGTTGCTAATCCGTAAAAAATCAAATCCAAAGCATCTGTATCTACAAACTTTCTCTCTCTGATAATAAGTACCCTTCCTACAAATCAAATAAATCAAATAACTGTCGGACTTAATCCATTTCATAGTATATATATATATATATATATATATATATATATATATATATATATATAATTCATATATATATATATATATATATATATATGGTGAATTTTAAACAATATATTTATGTGTGTTTGAGAGAGGGAGCATCTTGCTATGAAACACGATTGTATCTTAAACTATTACTATGTTCCTCACTATGTGGCCAGATATGTGGTTTTGTATGGTAAATGCTAAATGTGTAGGCTTACTCATTTTATTCTCACACAGATCCAAGTAGTTAAGACGAAATTAATATATTGCTTATCTGTATGTTTACTTGTGACAGACAGACATACACCGAAACAGACACACAGGCAGACATACACACGGAAAAGGAAGTTAAAAAAAAAAAAAGAATGTAACTCCACGCACCTTCTCTCATACTTTGTGTTTTATTCTTCACGTTGTTTTTTCTGTCGACTCAAAGTGGTTATGCAAACTTCAATTATACCAAAGTTTGCCCAGCCATTTCCCCCTCTCTTTCTCCCCTCTCTCTCTCTTTCTCCCCCTCTCTCTCTTTCTCTTTCTCTTCCACGCCATCCTTTAGTCACCGCATTCACCAACTCCCCTTTTCTAACTGCAGACCAAATACAGACAAGACTAGAGTTGGGAGGTGATGTAAAGTAGGTAAAAGAGAAAAAAATATGACATGTGGCTTTTGGGTTAAAGAAAGAAGTCAGTCGATGACGTGTGTTAATCTCACCCGCTCACGCCCAAATTAAAAAACTAGTCAGCCTCAACTTTATTCGATTGAAGAAACGTTCGTTCGGTTTACTGAGTAAAAAAAAAAAAGACTTATTTTTATTTTTAACATTAATTTTATCAACCAAAATATTTACAGTTTCTCGATACCAGTTTTAGGCAATTTTTAAATCCCTATAAATCTATCTTCCCAGTAATGTGTATTATTCGACGGAAAGTTTTCAACTTGGTGTGTATACAAGTCTGATCAGATCAATAATGTTAAATTGGCGAATAATCTCAAAAACAACATACTTACTGTTGTTAACAAGGGTTAAAAATGCCATCTTACTTTTAACACCTCTAAAACAAAATTCCTCTCAATTTTAATTTGAGATACCCGTCTCTGCCTTCCATCACTATGGCTGATGCTAACCTCCAGGAAAGTGACTCATTGTGCCTTCTCGAGCTATCATTATCAATTGACATGAAGTAGAAAGACTATATTGCTCACACACGCTCGGTTCATGATATCCCTAGCATCCTTCTGTAGAACCACATCTCTGTTGTCTCGAGTCTCTTCTTCATCTTTGAGGAAATCGTCCAACATTCGCTGCCGTAAAGAAGGAATGATGTCACGTAACAGCTCAGTATTCTTTTCTTTGATACCAAAGAAATCCTCCTGTCTCGTAATACTCTACCCAGCTTTTGGAAAATGTCCTTAGCCATCCCAATATGGCTACGGATCTCAGTGACGGACTTACCGTCCTCTGTCAAAACGCTTCCCAGATATTTAAACTTCCGTGTCTGCTTGATTCTAGTGTTCCCGGCCTTCAGATCGCATTTCGGGCTCCTCTTTTTACTGGTGACCATGCATTCTGTCTTCTAGTTTATGCTTAGTCCTTTTTTCTCGCTCTCCTACGCTACCTTCTGTAGGAGGTTTTGTAATTTCTTTTCCGTGTCTGCTATCAGTACTGTGTCATCTGTCTATCTTATGTTGTTAAGATTGTGGCCAGCAATGCTAAATCCTGGTAGGGTATCCAACGTTGAAGATGACTACTACTACACACAATGGTTAAAAGGTTTAACGTAGAAAGAAAAAAAAATCATTCCTTTAAATAATATGATGAACTAATCATTCTTCGCATGAGGAAGGTCACAAGACTCGAAACACGTTTCGCGAAATATACACAATAAAGTATGAAAAAGAGCCATATAATAAACAAAAACTTTTGCAGATTTTCTCTCTTTAAAATATACACTTTTCTTTCGTTGGAACAACAATAATACCTCCCTTTATATATATATATATATATATATATATATATATATATATATATATATATTACATTCAACATCACTTGAATTGACACCGGAGGTGTTGAAACAAAATGTCTATTTTTTTAGTGATTTTATAACATATTTATGTTAGAATTTTTTAAATAAATAATATATATATATATATATATATATATATATATATATATATATATATATATAATCGACTCTCCTGTCGCGTTCGACGTATGAGGGTCAGGCCGATAAGTCCCCAGGAAGCCGACATCCCGACACCGGCACATGAGATTTGTTTATAGTGGTGAAGGCCTTGTGCAGGACCAGCCACACTTTTTGGAGGGACGAATACAGAAACCTGGTGCACCGAATGCATGCCACAAGGTTCCCAAACGACCCTCCGCAGGTTTTGAATTCAAAGTTATCCTTCTCCTAGACCAGTTGCCATCCAAGGCTATAGAACCCAGTCTGTCCTGCTATTTTACCCATAGCTGGAGGGAGATGAAGAGGATACATACCTTTCCCAAGGGTATTAGCACGTAAGTGAATGCAGTGGATTCGACTGGAATTCGAACTCGGCTCTGCGATTCCTCAATATATATATATATATATATATATATATATAATCACAGTAAATGCTATTTTCAGTGAATACTCATATTTTAGTAGACGTTCCGTTTATTTATTAAACAGTATATCTATTTATTATCGTTCACCGGCATGAATATTTCAGAAACTTTAATAAAGAGTAATACGCGTTCTCTGGCTGGATTCGAACCTGCGTTCCCATGAGCAAATGCACTGTAATTAGATCCTACGTGCTTTTACCGAATCAGCTACGAAGAACTTTTGTCGACCAGGCAAAATCCTTCTGGTCATAGACACTCAAAATGTTCAGATCTGCTCAGGTTTGTATTCAAACGTAAACAATGTTTGGATGTGCGGGTGGTGCAATGGATAATGGCTCGGAATTGTTAATCGGAGCGCCAGTTTCTAATTTCCGTTGTGTTCTTTTTAGTCATTTACGAACAAATACTCTCTTCCTCCCCAGGTATGGGTTAATTAGTAGGAGTTATATCACTAAATTATTATTATCTCAAAAAAATTACTTACAATGTAAAGAAATTTTATGGCTTTAAATAACCTGAAAAGGGTTGATAAGCCGCAAAAAACAATCAATGAAATACTGATTAGCTACAGAGGCATGTCTTTTAGATTTATTTACATTTCTGGAATATAATTGTATAGAAACTACCGTGGCCACAAAGTGAGGGATCAGTTTATATATGTATTTTAATATAGAATTGATCCCCCACTTTATATCCACCTTATAATTTCTTATTACCGTAGCTACAAAGTAAGGGATCCCTTTATATACTGATTGTAATACAGAAATGATACCTCTATTATATTCTCATAATTTCTTTGTTTATCAAATTCAGATGTGGTCTGAATCCACTTCGTTTCCCCCAGCTATGGGTTAATTAGTAAGACTTGTATCACTAAACCATAATTATCTCAAAAAAAAATTCTTACAAATCAAAAATTCATTTCTGGCTTTAAATAACTTGTTAATAAGCCATCAAAAAGAAATCAATCAATGAAATACTGATTAGCTACACAGGCATGTCTTTTAAATTTATTTACATTCTCTGGAATATAAATATACAGAAATTACTGTGGCCACAAAATGAGGGATCCGTTCATATATTGATTGTAATGCAAAAGTGACCCCCATTTTATATCCACATTATAATTTCTTGTTTGTTTGTTTATCAAATTCTGATTGGGTATGAATCCACCTCTTCTCCCTCCAGCTATGGGTTAATCAGCAAGACTTGTTTCATTAAATCATTATATTCCCCCAGTCCATTAATGAAATACTGATTAGTGACAAAGGCATGTCTGTTAGATTTATTTGCAGTCTCTTGAACATAAATGTATAAAAACTACCGTGACTATAAAATGAGGGATCATTTTAAATATTGATTGTATTATAGAATTGATCACCCATTTGATTAGATATTAATATCCCTCTTCTCCCCATCAGATGTGAGTTAATAAGTAAAACTATTATTTTCTCCCAGAAAAGTATTCTTACAATCGAAAAAAATCTTTTCTGGCTTTAAATAAACTGCAAAGGGTTGATAAGCAATAAAAAACGAATTAATCAATCAAGTTTGTGTGAATGGACAAGGAGAAAGAAGGATGATAAAAAAGTGAAAAATTTATTAGAAAACGTACGGTAAAAGAGAGCTATGGTAGGCAAAATATCTAGAAAGGACTTCGCTCATAGAAGAATACGGTGGTAATTTGAAAAGTTCTAAGCCTCGCTCAGAAAGAAGAGCCATGGCTGAATATTGTTGTGGCCAACATTATCACTTCTAGAATAACTAATTCAGATTTCTGTCTCTTGGGAGTCGATTCTGCAAAATAGATTTACAAAATGATATACGACATTACTACAAAAAAAAAGTTATCTAGAGCAATAATTATTATTATTAATTATTAAGACATCCATATTACGTAGCTATGGCCGACCAAAGATTTCGCGATGTGAACACTCCTCAGGATCAAATAACCATCTTGTTATATTTAGCTATATAGTTTTTCATCTTAAATACGATGCTCTTTCAAAAAGTTATAAGCCTCGCCCTGAAATAAGAGTTATAGCTGAACATTTATCTATGGCAACAATTTAACACTTCTTATAAAACTAGAAAAACTAATTCAGATTTCTGTCAATTTCTGTGTAGATAAGACTTATAAAAATGTGAGATGTATGAACAAAAACGAGACCCGAGTAGTGATAAAATATCTGCAAAAGAAAGCTATGATACCCAAGGAATTCTATGAAGACATGGTACTACCCTTCCTATGCAACTGTGAAGACGTAACCTGGAGAATTCAAGAGGGGCAGGGAGAGAAGAGAAGGCGACCCTCGATGAATAAGAGTTTGTGATTTGAAAAACTCAACACAATTTAAGTTTCACGGAGTTTCTGAATTGAAGAACTCAAATTTCGACCTGAATTGGAATTTCGGCCCAAATCGGTCTTTTGCCGGAATTGAACTTATCGCCCGAATCAGAGTTCAAGTGAGGTTTTGAAGTTCCATGGAGTGAATGAAAAGTTATTTCTTCATAATTATTATTGCTGTTTTCTAAGCTTAACCAGAGGTCTCTTTAGCTTTAAACTGGAGGCGCAGTTAATTCTACGCATGAGCCTGCTTAAAAGTACACAAGGGCGGTTTTTTTTAATATTTTAAACCATATTGAAGACTGATTTTAGCAGAGATATATTGAGTGCGCCTGGTATTGTTGTGCAAGTTGTTCGTACACCGATCCCTATTCGACCTCTTGACTATCATCGCCCTCGCCACTCCTCACCGACCGCTAGGGTGTCACTCGGACCCCATTTGACAACCCTTGCTGTAAAGTATCCGCACCTCATCAATTACAAAAAAAAATGTAAATACTGATGAGTGGAAGTGTAAATTCTTTAGATGTTTCGTTTTTTATTCAGAAAATACCCAATGACCTCAGCAGTAAAAATCATAAAAAAGGAACGGTTCCTCTTATGTATTTCGAGTGGCACTTGTAATGCCATATTGCAGCTTTGTGAGAAATTACTACGCTCTTCAAATCATTCCGACACAAAAAGTAAGTCGGTCTTTTTTTTTCCGTGTTTGTAGGTCATGATGAATAAGAATTAGTTCAGAGCTGTTGAAAGAAAATATCCGATGATCTCCAACACATTTTGCTCTGAAAAGAACACCAGAAAAGAGAATTTGCAGATGAGACGATGGGAAGGAAATTCGTCCCGTTGCTTTCATTTTATTTAATAAAAGACTAAAAGGACAAATCAGTATCTTAGATAATTTCATTTTACAAACATTAGACTCTCTCTCTCTCTTTCTCTTTCTCTCTCTCTCTCTCTCTCTCTCCCTCTATCTATCATCTATCTATCTATCTATCTATCTAACACATCACTCTATCTCTCTATCCCAGTCTGTTCATATCTGTCTTATTTTCCTCGCATCTATCTATCTATCTATCTATCTATCTATCTATCTATCTATCTATCTATCTATCTATCACATTCTCTTCATCTATCTATCTATCTATCTATCTATCTATCTATCTATCTATCGGGCATCTATCTATCTATCTAACTGGGCATATCTTATCTGTCTATCCTAGTCTATCTATCTTATTTTCTATCTATCTATCTATCTATCTATCTATCTATCTATCTATCTATCTATCTATCTATTATATGTTCTTCATATCTATCTATCTATCTATCTATCTATCTATCTATCTATCTATCTATCTATCTATCTATCTATCTAACACGGGCATTCTATCTGTCTATCCTAGTCTGTTCATATCTTATTTTCTTCATATCTATCTATCTATCTATCTATCTATCTATCTATCTATCTATCTATCTATCTATCTTATTTTCTTCATATCTATCTGTCTCTCTATCTATGTAGCAAGGATTGGAATTCAAATCATATAATGAAGAATTTAGTTATATGACTAAACTTGAATGTTTACTGATTTATATTTGTAGCCTAATAAGTAATGCACCGCGCCAGAAAGACGACAAAAAATTAAGGATGAGGGCTCATTTATTGTCGGAATATCGTTATTTATTTACCTTTCCATACTGCTGGCTAAATTGTCGTGGAGTGTAAAGGTATAGAGACATTTCTAAAAGAGAGACCATGATAATTAAGAAAGAGATATAAGGAGGAAGAAGGGAATGAAGAAGAATGAGAAAAAGACGAGAAAGATGAAAAAAGAAAAAGAAAGAAAAAAGAATACAGAAAGATTATGCTCATGGATGAGAAATAAAAAGAGAGATGAGGAAAGATGTTGGAATAGATGAGGAATTGGACGAGAAGCAAAGTAGATCAAATTATGAAAAAAATATGGCGGAAATTTCCACGTTCAAATATTTTTTAATAAACCAGCAAAAATAATATAAGTATATATCTAGATATGATCAAATATGTTTTGCTATATATGTGTATATATATATATGTGTGTGTGTGTGTATTTATCCCTGGTGCAGTCAGAAACCCATCGGGATTAAAAAAAAGAAAAATCTTACTCAGCTTCTGATGAGTCGTTTTCCTCAGCAGCATTGCTCTCAAGCGGAACGACTAAGATTAACCATGGCGCCTGAGGCGTTCCCCCGCCCAAAATGTCGAGGGAACGCGATCAATTTTTGTCCGTAGTGCTGTGGTGAATTGCCAAGTATTCTTGGTATTATTTTATTGGACACTTTGGAATAAAATTGTGGATCAGGATTCAGGAAGCCGGGAAATGGCGATTGACGCTGCATTGTAGATGGCAAGAATGCAAGAAATCTGATGGGAGTTTCACAGGTGAGAAGTGCATGAAAAGAAACTATTAAAATACAATATACAGTTGCATCTACATAGTTCAACAGTAAAACGGTGAGACCTAACTGACAATCTAGTCTCACGTTTAAATTCACGCAGTCGAGGAAGTAAGGAAAAAACTATAACAATTGTCATGAAAATTGTTGTAGAAAAGACAGAGAGAAGCCATGTCACGTCGGTGAGAAAATGACTGAAGATGCTAGATCATGGACAATTACAGACCATACTTTGAATTTTGTCAAGAATCTCAAAGGGCTCTTAAAGTCTGTGAAATCATTCTGTATATGATATTACTTATATGATACACATACGTAGTGCGTTCATAAAGTTGAGCTATGAAAAAAACAAAACAATTATGTACATTTTCAGTTTCCGCTGGGTTCATTACATTCACTTAAATGCAGATAACCTCGGGATAGTTATGCCTCCATTGCTTCTCTCCACTAGCTATGGGTTAAACAGCAAGACAAACTAGCATCTATAGTCTTGGTTGGCAACCAGTCTACTGCAGAAATAAACAGTAACCTATTAGTAGAAAATGTTCTGCCTAGTCGAAAATGAATCGAAAGAGGCATGATCTCCAAATCGTGTATTGTATATGGCACTTGACTGACAGAAAATACCAATAAATATATAGAAAGAATTAGAAAGATATCTTAGGTGGGTAGCTTTAAATCATCGAGTCAGCTCTCTTTGGTATCCAGTATTTATAAACGTTTATATAACAATAGGTCAGTTTATCACTTATTGAAACTTAGTAAAATTCATGCAAACTATTAAAATAAATATTAGTAGATAATAGCAAAATACTATAGCGGCTCGAATTGAGGAATCCAGTCGAATCCATTACATTCCCTTACGTGCTAATACCCCTAGGAAAGGTATGAATCCTCTTCTTCTCCCACCCCCCAGCTATGGGTAAATAGCAGGACAGACCGGGTTTCATAGCCTTGGATGGAAACTGGGCTACCACAGAAAAAAATGGCAACTTACTGCGTGAAAAAATCTGCCTCGTCAGTCATGTATCGAAGGATACATGATCCCCTAATCGCATGGCACATAAGTGACAGATTCACTGCAAGAAAAGACCCCACACCTTCTCGACTGCAGCCGAGCTTATGGAGTTCACAGCTCGACATTGTATTTAATTATAAACTCAATAATGATTTTGATGTCTATATATGTGCTTCACCAGGGTTACATTGGGTTTTGAATTCTGAGTTGGCCTTCTCTTTCACAGCTAGAAAGACCAGTCTACCCTTCTATTTAATCCACAGCTTTAGGGAGAAGACATTGCATGCCTTTTCCCAAAGGTGTTTGTGCGAAACAAACCTGATCAGAATTCGAACACTGCTCACTGATTTCCTATTCTGAGTAGCTAACTTTCACCTCCAATATTTCACGCGCAACTCCAAAATCTCACTTTCACAACCAAGACTCAAATTACTGGAAACTATTATACAAAAGAAACGACCTGTGCCATAGACGACAGAAACAGAATGTCCATTCTTATTGACATGGAAGTCGTCGCAGATTGGAATGTATCTTTGAAGATCCTAAAAAGACTATCAAAATACAACGATCTTATAACTGTCTTTTGTCGTAATTAAAACTCGTGTAACACTCTCTCGTGTATCATGTGACCCCAACAAATTTTCACTTATAAAAATGATTTTCTTTTGTATCTCGTCTATGATGTGAATTGTTTTTTGAGAGACCAAATTACAATAGACGAACCCCTTTTCCTTCATCTCTTTATCCAATTTCCTAGTTAAATAAGTTAAAAAAAAGTAAAAGAGAAGGATAAAAGTATCGTTAGTAACGCTATACTCGATGCGTAAACGCGTACAGACATAAACAAAGGAACGAGAAACAGTTAAACATCTTAGAAATGTAAACAATGGGAAAGATGCATATTCGCTTATGTTTGTATTTTATAATACGATGCTAATATGTTAATATTACATGCATTATTATTGGATACAGTTAAGTAAAACAGCAGTTTTTATCAAAATCATGTTTATTTTAAATACTACTGTACTTTTTGACTACAGTAAATGGTTGATCAACGGAGTAACCAGGGCCAGCAGTACATACGCTAATTTTATACCTCGTGTATGATACGACCCTCTTAAAATTAGCTTCAAAATTAGGTCCTCAAAAGTCGTATGATACGCGAGTATATACGGTAAGTGGAAACAACAAAAAATCATATCTTGCTTGTCTAAGGTCTTTGGTTTTGCCCCGGCGTGTCATAAAATAAATGCAAGTCAAAAATTTTTTTTAATAATAATAATAAATAATAAATAAATCAAATCATAATAAATTAAATCAAATCTAATCTCCCAGACATCGTGCCAAAAGACCACAAGAACAGAATATGCTTTTCTTATTGACATGGCAGTCCCTGCAGATTGTAATGTATCTTTGAAAATCTTTCAAAAAAAAAAAAAAACTTTAAAAATACAAGGAACTTGAAATCGAAATCTCAAAAATATGTCACATGAGGACATCAATAATTCCAGTTGTAGTTAGAACCCTCGTGTTGATTGGAAAAGGTTCCGATAAATTCATTAAAGAGATTCCTGGTAGTCCATGTCTTAAAGAAATATACTGCCAAGTGCACTCACACATTACGAAGAGCTTTATAAAGGGTGTTTCATTAAGACGGATCAAAGTCAGCTGTAAATAAATCAGTGTTATTGGAGTTTTTTTTTTATTTCTCTATTGGATCATGTTATTTAAGTCATGGCAATTATGGGTGAAAAATAATATCGCCTAAATTTCCGCAAATGTTTCGGTGACACCCCTCCATACGATGGTCAACATTTTTGAAAAGGTCTCTGCATAGTTACTCCTTGATCTCACCAATATGCCTTATTATCTCATCCTTCAGCTGTTGAATTGTTTTTTTGGCTTGTTGGCATAGACTTTAATTTTGAGATTACCCCAAAGGAAGAAATCTAAAGGCGTCAAGTCGCACGATCGTGGTGGCCAATTGACTTCGCTGTTTCGAGAGATGATTCGATCTGGGAACTTTTCATTCAAATTCTGTTTGAACGTCCATTTTCGTAATAGATTTCGATAGCTTTAACACGTTGTTTCATTGTTAATCTTTCCCTGGTTGAAATTGCCAAAAGCTTAAGTTGTTAAATCTGTAAGAAAAAGAAAAAAAAATCATTAGAGGCTTAAACTTAATTTCCATTTAAAATTAGTCCAGCTTCTTGGAACACCCTTTATTTATAAAATTTGTGTGATCTTAGGTTTGTTTTTTCTTTATAAAAAAAATAGTCAGCGGAAGATGTCATGAAACTATTTCTGAGCTTAGGTCTCTGGTTGGAACCCAGGAGGAAATGTGTAGACAACAGAAACCCCAAGAAATTATTAAAAATAAAACGAATAAATATTTGATACATTATTTTTCCGGTGCAGTAACCTTTTTCCGCATTGCTATCACTTATATCATAGGTTTATATTTGAACTGAATTTGAATTCTAGCGTTCAAAACATTTCAGTACAAAGTCAAGAAAATCTTGTCTACCTTACTGAAAACATTCCTCAAGGTAGTTCCAATGTTGACCATTAAAGTTGCCATTTGCGCCTCGTGCAGTAGAGAGAGACAGCAGGTTGGTAGACCGTCAGATTTATCATTCGTTGAAGGGGATAATTGATCTGTTAGACTAAAATGGCTGAAGTTGTCCCAAGAGACAACTCCCTACCCTCCCAACCCATGCAAGGAAAACCCTGAAACAAACAACGATATATATTTGAAACAGAGTTCTTTTCATTTCTCGCTGTGGAGTTTATTTTCACCTTATGTTTCCTTGCGAGCGTGCAGGGGACTTTTCCCGGGTTTTGTGCACACCGACACGAACGAGAAACAACCTGGGGTGTTATTGTCCTGAGGGAAACCCTGTTGGATGTTTACGTAACCACTTTTTGGAAGCAGGCATTTTCGTAAGCAAAATAAAAGTGTCAAACGCGTACATTTCATAACATACATTCTTTCTCTTTCTCCCCCTCCTAACTCTCGCCATCTTCCTCTCATCGCCTCTCCTCTTTCTTCTCTGCCTCCTCACCTCCTCTTTTATTCTCTTTCTTTTCCTCT